TCTGTTTTTTCTTTCTTTATCTCGTTTTATTTTACAATGATAATATGAGGTTACTCTTTACAGTCTATATACTAGTATAATATTCATCACTTTCACGAGAATTCAGACAGAACCTGTTACTTTATTTTACATCTCTGTGTGACTTGGTAAAACTAGATCAGACACATGCATATTAAGTCAATGGACCACAGAATTCTACACTTAGTGTAGAATTCTGTGCAATGGATACATGGCCCGGACGAAGGACACTGCGCTACCTATTGGAATTACCAAGTTCTATCTGATATTTTGGCTGTTTTGAGTGATTATAAGTGACCATAAAGCCAGAGACCAAATGTTCCTTCTGCTCTATCAAAATCGTAAGATTACCAGATTATTCGGAGTCGTTATCAAGATATTTAAGGAATTACATTGAAAAAAGCTTTACTTGTGAAACTCAAAATTTTTCACGTCATATTTCTCAAAACTAGATCTGGGTAATTCATTGTAATTCTTGGGTAGCGAGAAGACTCATATCCCAGATTCAAATAAAACGTTCGCTAAAAATCAAAAACAAAATGTGCAAAACGTTGAAGACGTAAAAAAGGTAAATTTTTACTTATGCACCGACACACAGATGCGTTGAGTTGAGGGCTAAACTGCCATAATTTTTGCTGTAGAACACACGTTTGGCCTCAAATAAGTCTTGCAAACCAATTGTTTTCAAGTAAATATCAATCCAAATTGCCAGAACATCAAATCATTGTGAAATGCAGGGGGCATGCCCCCCCCCCCCCAGATTCTTTTTAAGTCATGGGGGCATGCCCCTCCTGAAACCCCCCATTGTTAAAATCAAGTCAAATATTACTATATTAAAACATCAATAACTCAATAACTATTGATTTGCGGTAAAAATGAAGGCAATATTCGTGTTCAGCATGCAAAATACTATAAGAAAATAGTGTATAAAACGTGTACATGAGACAGGTGCATGAGTAAACCCCCCCCCCAAAAAAAAACAAAAAAAAAAACAAACAAACAAACAAAAAAACAAACAAAACAACAACAAAACAACAACACAAAAACAACAACAAAAACCCGCGATAACGCCAAAAAGCTCGGTGCAGTAATGTATTGTTAGTGTTAGGCTAGCGTGTAGATTCATCCTAGTTTTTACATGAGTTTGAAGAGCGGTTTTGCCTGTGGCAATAAAAATACTGGATTCGTTATTATTTGTCTCCGAAACGAAATGAGTGTCATGTTTTGAATGTTTTCGTTTTGCAGAGGTGGACTCGGTCAGTGGCTCAGTGGACGATGGACAGATCTCGAAGTTGTGAAAAAGCAAGCAAGCTGATTTGAAGCTGCCCACGCCGTTTTTGTCTTCGCTATGGAATCTTGAGGAGGTGAAACATTTGTTGCAATCGCGTCCAATTATGTGATGGTTTAAATAGTGAGAGTAGGCTAATGACTGACTTTTTTGCCTTTTCAATTTAGATCAAAGTCAAGAGTGCAAGTTTTGTGTGTACAAAGGAGCCTGTCTGGAGAGTGTAGTGTAGCGTGCCTCGTGTTTGTTCTCCTTACGTTGTGATTGTGATGTATAGCTAGATCTAGAAGATCTATTATCTAGGCATAAGACGAGGTGTCACGAGTCACAAGGTGTAAAGACGACGCGTTAAAAGTACAAAGCATGTTGGTCATGCAGTATAGTGGTCATATATATCTAGAATCTAGATATATCTAGCTTCTATATGATATGTTTGTTTATTGTTGTCTTTTGCTAGATCTAAATCTAGTGATGTTGTTACTCTGCACTTGCCCCAAATCTCTAATGTTGAATCTAGATCTAGATATTAGATATAGCTCTAGATCTAGATCAAGATTCTAGTCTAGATCTAGATCTAGAATCTAACTGTTTCTTAGTAAGATGGTAAGTGTATACAGGGTGATCCAAAAAAAACTTTACAACTTGTTTTGTAAATATATCTTCCTCCATACTGAAGTTTTGCGTTTGAGATTGGAACATAATGTTTGGAAGCCAGAAGGAATTTGTCTGATATGTATTTTAGATACGAAGTGACTATTCGGACTCGAGTCTGAATGTGAAAAAATGTTATTCGGACTCTGATTCTTGTCCAGCATGACATCACTTCCGACTTACTGTGACTCGTGACTCCGGCTTCCTGTCCTGCCTCACTCGTGACTCGCCTCAGGTTGGGTAGAGACCGGGATCACTTTGGGCAAAATGGCGTTTTGTGCAGGAGTAGGAGCCGAATTTTGATCTAATGATGAATTTGAGGCCGGCCTGAAAAGTTATAGCGCTTCTAATAAATGTTTATTTGTCAAGAAGTCATCAGAAGCAATTAAAGATGGCTCGTTAGCGTGTGTGGGGGTCGGATGGGCGGCCTGCACACGTGTGGCTGTGTGTGCGTGTCGGGGAGGGGGGGGGCACTATCGGTCCGGGTGTTGAACATCGCATACGCGTTGGCGTTGGCGTCAGTCTTTTTTCCCCCGGCAACTGATCATTATTACAATAATAGTAATAAGCTAGTCTTGACGTAGATCTACGTAATGAATTGTGCGCTGGTCTATGGAATCAAAAGTTGCCATATGCTCGGCTCTACACAGCAACACAACTTTTTCTTGGTAAACAATCGAGATGACACAGGCTTGTGTATTTGAACGAATCGGTCTTTTTTTTTTTTTACACAGCTCATAATATATATGCAGGTGCCAGGTGGTCTGCTAATCTTCAATTTTACCTTTTTCTACAACAAAGAAAGTGGGAAACATGGAGGGGGGGGGGGGGTGTATCAACGAGGCGGCGGGCATCAGATTGGCAGATAAGGTGTGGGGGAAACTAAAAAATGGCAGAAAATTGGAAGCACTGAACGTTAGATCTATAGAACGAAAACACTTCCTTTTTTCCGGACCCGAGTCCGAATAACATTTTTTCATTTTCGGACGAGTCCGAATATGAAAAAATGTTATTCGGACTCAAAGACGGCCTTTTAGATAAGTCCATTGAATGGTTTTGCTCTATATTGCGCATTAAAAAAACAACCCATTTTCAACCTTGTCGCCATTTTCATAGCATGACGCACCTGTTCGCTTTAGATTTAGGCCTACCACTAAAAGTTGCAACAATCGCGCCATACTGCAAGCTACAGCAGTCTAACAAGTCAACAGAAGTCTGCAGATATTATTTTTCTCAAATTTTGGTTGTTTGCCTGCTGAAATCATGGCTACGTTTAGTAGAGAGCTCAGAGCCTTTTGTATTGAACATTACCACTCCACAAACTTACCATCCCTGACATTTCGTAAGTTCTGCGCACGGCATGGAGAGAATATTTAGGTGCACTCAAGACCTTTGACGTCTTGAGTAGAGAAGTTCCGTCAGTTTGGATCTATAGCGAATCAGAACTAAAAAGTTCTTTAAAAAATTACCACTTCAGGTGGAACACGCACCATGCGCAGCCCTTTAAAAGTCACCAGAGTGTAGATTTCAGTAGCCGAGTCCCATGAGATGTCTGTGCGTAGACGGTCTGCAGCTAGGACTTTCCTACTCATCAACATTCTGCATTCCCATGGCAGATCTTAACCTACGACTATACCATGTTCATCTTCGCTAGGCTGAGATGACATGGATCAGAGCATGGCAAAGTGTTCATAATTCCCCGATTGTCTTGTAAAGAGGGATCATTTCCTCGATGACATTTGGTTTAGAGCAAAGACCATTTTCACCCTTCGGGATAGGTTAACTCCTAAAATACTGTCTATAGGGCTCACCACTCTGTTGTCTCAAGAAGCCACTTCTTAGTGAACATGTATAGTGTATGTGGCTTTAAAAACTCATGGTTTAGCAGGTCCTTGTGTTAGGGCACAAGTGGAAATTTCGAACGACGCGTTAAAACTGTTGAGTCCAAAGGAGGGAATGTGGAGCACTAGATCTAGTACTGCTTCTAGGAATTTCAGAATAAAATCATTAGATTTTTAAAACTCTGTAAAAGAAACTAAATATTCTTGAAATGTCACGGGATGGAAAATTAGTGTCAAAGAGAAAATAAAGAAAAAGATCGACTTATCTTTTCACGACTTCCTTTACAAGATTTTAAACCTTGGTGAACCTTGCGTTTTTGGGTGCTTTTTTCTTTTAGCCGTTTCCATTTTCAAAAAATGTTTCTTCTTCGCAGATTTTATATCAAACAAATTCCTTTTGAATGAATTATATCGGTTCCAAATTACAGCATTCTAGAACTAATTTTGCGCGAGATATTCAGAAAAAAAGTTGTAAAGTTTTTTTTTGGATCACCCTGTATATAGATTCTATATATAGATATTCTAGATCTAGATCTATAAAATGCTATATATATATATGAGTGTGTGACTAAAAATAAAAGTTTTAACGCGTCGTTCGAAATTTCCACTTGTGCCCTAACACAAGGACCTGCTAAACCATGAGTTTTTAAAGCCACATACACTATACATGTTCACTAAGAAGTGGCTTCTTGAGACAACAGAGTGGTGAGCCCTATAGACAGTATTTTAGGAGTTAACCTATCCCGAAGGGTGAAAATGGTCTTTGCTCTAAACCAAATGTCATCGAGGAAATGATCCCTCTTTACAAGACAATCGGGGAATCATGAACACTTTGCCATGCTCTGATCCATGTCATCTCAGCCTAGCGAAGATGAACATCGTATAGTCGTAGGTTAAGATCTGCCATGGGAATGCAGAATGTTGATGAGTAGGAAAGTCCTAGCTGCAGACCGTCTACGTCTAGGTCAATTTCCGAATGTTTTGCACCCAAATTCTTCTTTTTACCTGCACAATGGTATTCAGAATTATCTGTAAACTTATTTTTATCAGGTAGATCTAATATCATTTTGCATAGGGATGCGTTTTGCTAAAATTAAAGCTCATTTGAAAGATTTTGTAGAGTAAAATGAAAGTCTTGTTTCTTGGCAATCCTTTTGAGCTCCTTGTGTTTAACTCTAAGTGGATCAATTTTATCTCTAATTTCTTTGGATGAACATCTAGAACTACCAACCTGGGGTGCTGCTGAATACAAAAATCCACCGAAATTTACTGGAATCCACCAAATCCACCAAAAGAAATATACTGAAATCTACTAACAATCGACCAAAATCCACTGAGAGAAATATGCCAAAATCTACTTAAATCCACTGAAATCTACTGGAATCCACCGAAGTCTACCGAAATCCACAAAATCCACCAAAAGAAACATACCGAAATCTACTAACAATCCACCGAAATCCACAGAAAGAAATATACCAAATTATATTAAAATCTACCGAATTCCACCAAATCCACCAGCCAAAAGAAACATAACATTAACTAAATCTACTTTTATTCCACCGAAATCTACCGAAATACATACCGAAATCTACCAAAATCCTCCGAAAGAAATAATATACCGAAATCTTCTGAAATTCACCGAACTCTCTCGAAATCCACTTAAAAAAATGGCCGGCACTATTTCTCCGAACGTTCGGGAAAATAAAGCTGGGCACTATTTCTCCGAACACTCTGAAATCACTTCCTTTCCCGCAAATTTCGGATAAATATATAGATCTATAATTATATTATATAGGCCTACCAAAGATTGTTCGTATACAATATCATGGTCCGATTGGTCCGAAAAATGTCCGCAGTAAATGTTTATAAAGAAATGCTACAGTTCCCTATGAAGGGTGCTGCTCTTAAACGTAATGTGTTGTGTTCACTTGTGTGCTATCTAGAGCTAGATCTAGATCTATGGAGGGTTGTTGTAACGACACATAGAACAAGCATCTGCGTTTGTCGAGGCCGCAACCAATCAATAGTGGCTTGATTTTTTGGCGTTTTTTTGGTCCCCGAATCAGGGAATAAAAGTCAAATAAAAAAGAAAAAAAAAGAAAGCGAACCTCTTTAATTTTGAAAGAAAGTTCAATTAGCTTCACTTCGTCTCTTTCTCACTTGTTGTCACCACATTGATTTGTTGAATACGTTACAGGTACATACGATTTGTATTGGTGTTCCTCTTTTATTTTTCCCTCTTTGTGGTGTTTTATTTTGTTGGTGTGTAATTTTTTTTTCTTGTTATTGTTCTGATGTGTTGTTTTTCTATTAATTTTTTTTTGTTGGGGAAAGGGAAGGGGGGGTGTTGTATAGTGTAGCGTCATTCAATTTGATGTTCCTACCTTCATTAGATTTATATATATACATGTATATATATATAGATTTAAATGTGTTATGTTAGAGTGTTCTACCAAAATCGATTACATGTACTGACACTGGCAGGCCCCTTGTGTGTGAATCCATGATTTACATGTAATATCCTGTACTTTAAAAAAAAATTACGCACATTTAGGGTTAAAACAGCCAATTTTCTTCGGACAGGTGG